TTGCAACTTGTTATCGTAATTGTGTATACAGTCATAAACCCACTTCAATTTGTGTCATTACGTATACTGAAAGCGATATTTTGATTACATGAATTTGAAAATGCTGATTTGTCTCCCATACGTGGACACAAAAGTACATCAAATTATTGGCAGATGAGGCTTATGTTTACCTTCTAATCAACAGTGAAATCCAATGCTACTAACCATATCATCTCCACGCATGGAGTCAAAATAACCTTGTTTATCTCCCGGTCCTACCTGATTGTCTAGTAGATAATTGTGGCGCATACAATCTGCCTTGCAAGCACGTACAGCGTATACCCCCCCCCCCAGTTTTAAAGGAACTCGTTCACAACGCTCGGCGCCACGTACCAAAATACCAAATGGAAAACGCAATTCTCAATTAAGCCCAAATAACTTTACCTGGACGTAGTGGCTCTGGATCCGGGCATCAACGTTGGCTTGTACACATGGAGAGTAGTGTGATGTCTGCTAACACGAATTACTGATATACCGAAGTCATGTGATCATATAAGTTGTTAAATTCAAGCTAGTTAAAATTTGATATAATTTTTTTACTATGTATGTCAATACCGATCATAAATTAATGATGCACTTGTCATGTGCAGTGGGACGATATAATAAAGATATAGGGGGTTATTCCACAGGTGCTATACGGAGGGGAGTTTTAGCGAACAACCGGCCTCATAATTACGGGGGGGGGGGGATAAAAAAGAATAAAAATGACAAACACACACAAATGGGAAAAATAAATAAGAACAATGAAGCATAAAGTAATTTTTTGAGACATAACAATATTGCATGTCCAGTTCACTAAAAAACAATCTTTTTGACCACGTGTTTAAGTATTTGAGATCTGAGCCGTGATAACATGCAAATCGAAGACCCCTCCCACGTATCATTTGTGTGTGATGATAGAAATTTTTAAATTAGTCTTATGTTTACGTACTCAGCGTTCAATGGCTTGAACATATTTGCAGCATGGCATGCTGCATTTATATGTACATTTTGCTGCTTTCTGCGCCATATACCAAGAGAAAAAAACAATTCATCTGGAAATACAAGGAAAGCCGAATCCCGAATATTACAAAGTACATGTAGTATACACTATACTCATATAAGCCATGTATTCAAGTACAGTGCAAACCAACTCAGTTAAGATTGTTCAACCAGAAACCTCTTGATTCGAATTAATTGACTTACTCTCAGTGCAACAAATGCATTGTTGCTACTTTTATAATATTTAGAAAATGAAGGGAATGCCTTTGTTCCGCAGAGAATACAGGCAAGCGAACTATAAATTACAACACACAAGACTTTCGATTCAGGCCAGTGTAATGCTGGCTGCAACAAACCAAATATGGACATTTAATCGTTGAGTATGCCCTTCTATTGACTACCCCGGTTTAGTTATAATGCCCACTCTTTTACTACTACTGGTTTCATTGTA